ATAATAAAAAGTATATTTGCACTATCTCCAATGGAAGCAACCTCTTTTTCTACTGAACTCACATGAATATTTGTAGATTTTCATCTACTGTTATTTCTGCATTGTACTACACTAACCTCCACCCACCAAGTGTGTAACTACTTTTTTAGACAAAAATTTAAGTTGCATTTATCTGTATAAGCTGCAAAACAGCAAAGGCAGGGTCTTGAGCCATCTCCTTTTATCACATAAAGCCCTAAAGTATGGTGTCAAAACTGAGAAAGAGAGAGAGGGACCCAGATTAAGGGCAATGGCAAAATAAACATGCATTGCAAATAGACTCCAATGAAACAGAATAAAACTCTGACAATAAAAAAATGAAAAAACAAAAATGAGGAGATCTATAAGTGATACGTAAAAATTCTGCTCCAATTGATATCTTTTCTAAAGGAATCTTTTCTAAAATAAAAGCAAAAGAATGTTCATATTTTACATTCTAGAGATAAGCTTCTTATATTTTACCAACCAATGCTTTATATTTAACATTCACATTTAAACATGTATACATTCAGATTTAACATCATTAATATGTTAGTTAAAAAGTTCATGCCATTATTTGCTATACCGTTAGTTCTAGAAAGCCAGAGGTGTGACTCTTGTCAGTAAAATCACAGTTTCAGAAACAATAGCAAAAGCCATGACAGTCTGTGGAAAAATATTCCAGTAAGGAGAGAGAAGGAGAAGGAGAGGGAGGGGGATAGATTGATTGGCATTAAGGCAAAATCTTTCCAGGGCTTACATTTTCTGTTTGGCATAATTTTTTCTCCCTTAACCCACTGGAATGGCTGTGACTTTTTTTTTCACATCCAAGAGAAGGTCTGTCTCTAAAAATACAGAGAGAGAGAGAGAGAGAGAGAGAGAGAAAGATGGAGAGACAAAGAGAGACTCTATGCCTATATTTATACTACGAAAAGAATGAAAAGGGATTCCAATGTTGACAAAATTGACATAGATGCTGACTTTACAGTGTTTACAGTCTGGAAAGGAGGGCAACATCAATCATATAACTGCACAAAGAAACAAAATTTTAATGAAATACAGCTATATGATGCTATGAGACCATATACTAAGAGAAGAAGATTGGTCCAGTTGACAAAGAAAGCTTCCTTCAGAAAGTGACTATTGAGATGAGAAACTAGGCAACAAGGATTCAGAAGTGGTAAGCTTCTTAGATAGAAACAAACAGGTGCAAAGACCTTGGCAGGAAGTCACATGATGGGAATAAGAACTGACAGCCCTTTGTGCCCGAAAAGCAGAAGAGAAGCATGATGTGGGACGACTTGGGAGCAATTAGGCAAGTGCTGAACCAAGCAAAGTATTGTAAACCATGATAAAGAACTTTGTCTTTATTCTAAGGATATTGTTCTTTAGAAAGAATATGACATCTCAATTTTGTATTTTGTAAAGCTCTCTCTGGTAGATACATCCCTGGATATGAGTAGGTAATTTAGAAGGCTTCTGGAGTAGTCCAGGGAAGAGATTATGGTAGCTGGGATCAGGAGAATGATGGTAAAAATGGGGAAAAGTAAATAAATTCAAGAGATTTCTTTTGTAGGTAAATGTGACCAGACTGGGTGATGGATTTACTCTGTGGAATGAAGGAAAGAGAGGTGAGAAAATGATTCATCTTTTTTTCTGGCATATGGTGATGCCATTTACTGGGCTCAAGGAGACTAAAAAAATGTATTTGGGGAGATAACCAAGAGGTTAGTTTGCCACATGTTAAATTTATGGCACTTAGGTAATTAGATATATCAATTTGGAATTGACTAGCAAGGTCTACAGTGAAAATATAAATTTGTGAGAGTGATTATAAAGTTTTGATTCTTTTGAGAATTTTTTATTCCTTCTTAAGATGAACACTGCATAATTTACCATGTTTACTTTGTTTTACCTTTTAGGATTATTGAACCTAATTGATATTTAATTCATGTAACCAGGTAAGCAATCACATTTAGCATGTTGCTTTTGTCCCATTGATGACCTTGATTTTCTATCTGCTATGTTTTTGTGCATCATATATTCTGGGATAGTTCAAGTATATAAATATATACATAAATAAATTAAACAAGAAAACATATCTATCTGGTTGAATAAATAGACAAATTGAAGGAATAGACACATTATGTTGAAGGAATGGTTGAAGGAATAGACAAATTACGTAAACTTCCTTATAAAGATGATATAAGAATAAAATAATTGAATATTTAATAAAGAATACTGAAAAATGCCAAATGAAAATATGTTGGCCATTATTATTATACTTAGTAAACCCACTGTCCAATAATGTCATTGAAGGTGATAATTAACAAGTCTCAAATATAGGGGAGTTTGTTTCAGAAAAATAAAAGTATATTAAATATTATATATTAATGGCATTAAGATTATCTTAATATTTAGAAGGCATATTAACTTTGTAGAGTGACTATCATTGCCATATATATATATATACACATTATCTTTACATGTAAATATTTATATACACACATACATATACACACAAAAGTATGTATTTAGACAGGCATGTACATACAGATACATTTCCGATTCAGGACATCATTATGCATTGTTTAAATTCATCAGTGCTTTTGTCAAATGAGAAAGAAGAGCAGAAACAGAAAAAAGTGCTCTTTTATTGCCAAGACTAATTGAAAATACCACAGTGAGAAAAATAACCATTGTAGCAACCATGACTACCTCAACTGCCCTGCCTTAATCACAAGTGAATATTCCATTGCCTCATTATTTTCCTACTACTTCTCTATTCACTGTTTCACTCTAAGAAAATACTCAGTATTCCATTTATTTTATAAAGGGATTTTAATGGATATGCTATGAATTTTCAATGAGCTATATGAAATTTGAGGAACCTAATTAGGAATGTATTTACTTTCTCTTTTTTTCAGTGTGATTAATTCCATGCAAGACTTTCAGCCTAATGTTATTCCAAAGAAAAAAATAGAAAAAGAGGCAATACTTCTACAGACTAATGGACTGGTAATTTAAAAATTGAATCAAGCATAAACTCTAAAGAGTCTTTTTCAATATATAAATAATTTCTGTTTAGCCTTCGATTGCCAGGTTAATTAGTAAATCCTTTGGCCTTGATTGTAGCCATTAGTAAATAAAAATATATTTGAATTTACTTAGCTTTGTGATGTACACTAGGGAATATATGTCAGTAAATATATTTCCTTTGCTAACAACTTTCATGCTTTTATTTAGAAAAAGTTAGCTTCATCAGTGGATAACAAAAAAAATCATTAATTAGCTAATTAACTGTTTGGGCAGATAAATTCTCTGAAGTTTCTTGTGGAAGATACAAACCCTGTTCATTTCTATATTTTCACAGTGTATGAGATTACCTCTGGCTTGGACAGGGTCCTCTGTCACCTTAAGAAATGTAAAAGATGGAAAATGTAGAATGTCTTCTTCAAGTTGCCTCATTTAATAAAAGGTTCATGGAGCAAAACAGTAAAAGCAAGTCTTAACATAAATGAATAAATCATGTACAAAAGGAGTACAAGGTAATAAAATATGCATAAAAAACTTACACTAAAATAATGATTTGTAATATATCCTCTGCATACTCAGACTTTTCATTTTATGCTACAGGTACAGTTATAATGAATTAACCACCTTATAAGGTAGAGATTCCTTTTTGTTTATGGATTATAAGCAGTTGTTTTCTGCAACTTTGAGCACAACACCAACAAGATATTGGCTGCCTGTTTTAAATCTTTCATAAGTAGCAGCATCATGATTCAGAAATAAATTCTTAACAATAGTTTCGATGTTCTTTTAATGAACAGTTCAAAGCATAATTTTAACATTTCTGTTGTAGGCATACTGGCATTGTAATGCAAAATAAAACTAAGGTTATTAAGTATCTCCAACCTGTTCCCTTCAAGAAAATTTCAATTGCTAAACATACAATCACTGTTAGACAATCTAGAATATATCAAATTCTTACTCTCTATAAAATATGTATTTATAAATCATTTTCAGTGTGGTTACATTGTGACGTAATGTATACCCAAGAATAACAAGAGACACCTATATCAAGTATTTAGGAGAAGTAAAAAAAAAAAAAAAAAAAAGCAAAAAGAAAAGAAAAGAAATACCTCAAATGTAAACCAAGAAAAATGGCAAAATGGTAAGATCATAAATCTGAATCAGGAAAGTCTGAACTTTCCTGAGAAATTGCCTTTATTTTTTCAGATCTATGTACCCAGATAGTCTTGTGACTAATGCATTTACTTATTTAGAAGTTAGAAAACCCAGAAGTAAATCTATGGCTGATAATTTGTTTTGGGCTTGTATATAGTGCATTATGTTATGCATTTGTAGACTCTTCATGCCCCCTGATTTCAATTTGTTTTCCTACCTGTAATTTTCATTTTCTTTAGTTTTTCCAGTATGAGTATTTATAGGCTATCATATACCTCTCCTTGAATGACACATATAACATACTATAAACCAACCAATCAGAAAAGTGATTTTCTAACTCCTGCCCATTTCCATCCACTGGCCATCACAGTCATGGAAACAACACTCAATTTTTAAGAATCAAAAGACCAGGAATTTTATTCTATTTTCATAACTCATAAGCCAAGTAATTTTTATAAAATACTTGATCATTCTGAATTTGTTTACTCCATTAGAAACTTTGTTATTTTAATCCCTTTCCCCAAGCAGGCCATACGGCTGTAAATGTAAATTATAATAATGCATGAGATACACAATCCTGAAAAAAAAAAATCAGAAAATTCTATATAGGTTATCAACACAAAAAGTGGTAGACTTTATGTCTCCGGAATAATATGATGCAAAAAATAAAGGAAATAGTGATGAATACTATTAGGTTTAATTTGTATATTAGTTTGCACAATTTCTAGTTAGCCTCCCCTAAGTGTTTTTAAACCCACTGGTAATAATCAAACTGAATGCAATCAACTTACTTCTGGAGCCTGAAGAGTTCCTCACTGCTGTGAAGGAGTCAGCACTCTGCCCGGCTGCTGCAGAAGATGGACAGGGTGAAAGCATCTCCAAAGCTGATTCTGAAGATGGTGTCAAGAGGAAGGTGCTCAGCTGCTACATATCTTCTCAACACCTGGTTGAATGGTTACAGGAACTCTTCAAAGGAGGCAAACACACACACACAAAAATGTGTATCAAAAAATGCTTATGAAGTGTTCTTGAGAAATATGGTTTTTGTTAACTAGGTTACCAATCTCAAGCTATATCAGGAATATCACTAAATATAATTCAAATAGATTTGCCTAATAAACCTTTCCAGTGGAATGTGCAATATGTTGTGATTCCAATAAATATGTCAGCATTCTGTATTTCATTTTTGGAAGGTGTTTTCTTATCTCAAACTGAAGATAATTTAAACCATAATAAGCTACATAGTTCAATTTTCATAATATTTCAATTAATTCAACTTCAGTCTAATGTTAAAACAGTGCAAAGGCAACACATATTTAATCATCATCTACTGTGTACTAGGCACATGATAACTGGGGATATAATAGTGAATGAACCTGAAAAAGACCTGCCCTCATAGAGTGAATCATCTTATGTTGCTTTGCCTTATGTTATGATGAATTTTATTCAATAGAGGATATCTATTGCAACACATATGTCTATGGAGGAAATACACAAATATTCCCCTTGTATTTTAACTTAATGTCAGAAGATGGCTGATTTCGGCTTCCTAATGAGGGTTCTAATGTCAATCTAAATAATAAGTAACTTGACTCTGAGACATAATGTTTAACTTTCTTTCCCCTAAGATCTATATAATGGTACCAAGTGAAATTCAACTACTGACATTTTAAATACAGAAATATGCTAAATTTTTTAAATGTTCTTGAAATGAATAAAAGTGTTGTAATTTTAGTTTGACTATAACTTATTTCATCTGCAGAAGCAAACATGGAGAATAATACAATTCCAAAGCATAACAATAAAACATTAAGATGATAGAACAATGACGTGGGTTTAGTTTACTGTTTCTGCTGTCTCCATTTGTAAAGGTATATGATGATCTGATAAAGCCACAAGTTAAGAGGATAATTATATTATCTTAGGATATCTAATAATTAGAAACTAATTCAAAAAAGAAAGTTATGTGGCTGCCTAATTTAAAATTGAAATTCTCACAAATAATAAAAATCAATGCACAGATTAATTGTATAGTTGAATAAAGTAAATTACAGTATATGTATTAATTATTTATATGAATCTGTTAATCAATGCTATCTCTTTTTAAAATTTATATTCATTACAAAACAAAAATGTTTATTATAGAATTATGGAATAACCAGGAAATACCACAAATATGCACATACTTACGAATGTGAATCAATCATATGCCAACCACTCTGATACAGCTATGTTAGCCTTTTTATTTATTTCATTATATGAAATTTTCAACCAATTTTTACATTTATATATGCATGATAAAAATAGAATAAATCCAAAAATAAATTTTCCTCTAAAGCAAGGTATTGCCCTCAGTGAGAAATAATTTTACATTCAGAACATTTTTTCAGAAATATTGTGTGTGTTTATGTATGTGGATTGCTATACATAGATGATACTGTACCCTGTTTGGCCCTGTTCCTTTCACTTAATGTCTTGAAGACCATTCTCCATCACAACCCATCCGTTCTATCAGTGCACATCCATCACATGCATAATCTGCTCATAAAATATCCCAATTGAAAAATATGCAGGTTTATGGATCTTTATTATAAAAACGATATAATCAATTTTCACATATATTTTGCACACATGAGTAAATGCATGTATAATAATTTTGAAGTAAAATATTTAGGTCAAAAGCCTCATTGTTCCTAAAGCTCTGATCACGTTTCCTTTTCTGTAATAAAGACAAAATATAAACAGAGAAAAAGTAAATCTGAATTCTGTAATTATGTTTGATATTATTGCATTGTGGTAGCAAAATATAAATTACCCTAAGTCCCCCCAAAATTGTATTGATCATCAACAGTATTTCCATGTCTTTATTTCGGCACAAAATGTACAATAACTGCTAAAACTCCTATCTGAATTCCAGTTCCCCAGAGAAAGGTTTTTTTCTGTATGATCACATCATTTATTAACAGGAACATTTTCTTTTTTGTAATAATAATGCATTAAGCATTTGCTACATGCCAGCCTCCATAAAACATGTGTTACTTCCATCAATTCTCCCAATAATCAACTGAGGTAAATACATATCCCTATATTACTTTTATAAAAAAACAAGAACAGAGAAAGGTCAACTAACCTTGGACAAGTCATATAGCTAGTAAATGGTAATTGCAGGGCTCTCCCTGAAAGCTATCTCACTCCATGAAATGTTTTATATCTCATGATACAAGTGAAGATTTCAGAAAACCATTATAGGATTCTATAATAAAGTGCTGTTTTTTGAAGTCCATATTTTGGTCAATGCAATGCTCAAGGTAGGAGTTTTCAAATTTGAGATTGTAATACTATAATTTTCTAGTGTTATCAAAAAGGATTTCCTTTTCTTCTTCATAACATATTAAAATTAAACATCCTGTAAGAAATGCTGGTCAATTTCTTAGTTCCATAGAAATTGTTAAAATGTTGGCCATCTTCCACAGTCTTGGAAAATTTGGCAACTGTTCTTGTTTATGTACATGTATTTACAAGAAATATGGCTCTCCCTTTAACAATTATCTTGGATACCAATACTAAACTCTGAAAGAACTCAGGAAACATGGAAAAACTATGGAATTCATCAGATAATATACTTTATAAAGTGAGAATTCATTCCTCCTCCAGCACCCAGTGGTGCTTTCTTGTCCTCTACAATGTCTTTACTAAGTGTCCATCAGTTGTCTGAACGTACACATTGATGAGAGTCTTGCTATCAACAAAGTCAGGACTTTAAAGTCTTCTAGGTCTGGGTTGAAAACATAGCTACAACTGTGTTACTCACTTTTCTCCTTTAAAATAAAAAATACAGACTTATAACAAAAAGTTATTATTTCAAGATATAATTTGTTTAAAGTACCAATTATGATACTTTATACATGTACCCATGCAATATTTTGTTCTCCTCAGAAGGAGAACAAAGTTTTCCTAAGACTACCCTACATTTTAAACCATTGAAAACTAAGGAAACTCTTGAAATATTTAAAAACATCAGTCATATAATCTTAAGTATTCCCTTCATTTTAAATGTCCACAACATTGAAACAATTATGAATCCATCAAATAGTATCATTACCTATTCTCCCTCATATGTCTAATAATACAAAATAAAAAACATGGAGTTTTTCTGCATTAATCTTTACTTATCTTTACCTTGTGTTGAAAATAAGCCTTTAGTTATCCAGATATTTAACCTATAAGATGCAAAAAGCCAGGTGTGTTGTAATATATGAATAATTGAATCATATGGTTTCACTGCAATTCATTCAATCACTTATTGAATAATAATATAAAAATGTATTTTTAGCAAATATAACCATGATCTTTAGTGAACTACTCCAAAAATGATGTTATAAGAAATGCTACTTTATTAAGATAAATAACTTGAAAATAATTTGAACCACAAATAGAATGAAATTGAAAATTATTCCATATTAATGTTTTAAAATCATAAATATTCAGATATTCATACTAAAACATGCTTACTCCATCATTAGTACTGTTAAACCTACTTTAAAAATTAAATTACAGATGCTGATTGACTATGGAAATGCATTTTTGTTATTGGATAAAAGTGAAGTACCATACACTTGGCTACAGTAAAATATTTACAAATTATTATATATATCCAGGATCATATGACAAATAAATTTATGTACCACTAGAGCATTTATGGCTTAATGTAAATGTCACATTGTAAATGAGAACAACTAATCATTCCTTTCCTCTAATAGCAACAGTTCAGCAGTTAAATAAAACATAAATCTTGGTGACCTAAAAATTTTATTACTGCATTTGTAATTTCCCGTTAACAACTCACAGAAAATAACTTTAAGTGATGCTATATTTCAATAAGCTACAACCCAAGGTGATGGCTTTTTTTTTAATAATGTGGGAACAGAGGGTAGGTAGAGGTGGTATTTGCTTTGCATTGTTTTTGAAAAGCTGACTCATTCAGTAAATTTCATAATGATAGTTATAATGAATATTCATCATTAAAAACAGATACAAAATTAATAACTTATTTAGTGAAAAACAAAATGCATATGATTTCACAAAATTTCTGCTATTAGATGGTGGATGTAAAATTCCTATATGAAAATAAATAAAAGAAATGTAAAACAAGGTCCTCATGAAGACTATAGAGCTATTAAAGCATTTTTACTAGCACAACTAGTATTTTATCAAATGATAGCATCAAAACAATCCAAAAGAGTAGTAAAAATGATTCAAACTGTAATTTCACAATTTAAATTTACTCTGCTAAAAGTTTCCTTGAAATTTCCTTGAAAATCAAAGTTCTATAAATATTTTTTTTCCAAAAGACAACTTTGCCTGGCATACCTTCAACACTCTGGTGAAATGAGAAGGTAGTCCTTTAACTTCTTCCTTTCTAGTTCATGTTCTGTTCTAACAATATACATGTCAGTCGTGCTCTGTTATTTTGAATACAGGAGAAAATAAAACATAATATTCTTTTTACTCTTAATGATTTGACAAAATCAGTAGACGAGTATTATGGTCACACTAACAGTCATGTCAGTGTATAAAATTGGTAACAATCTTTCTCAATTAAAAGAGATATATTGAGTGTTTATTGATACAATGATTATTTAGCTACATGTATCCACATAGTGTTTCCTTCCTTCTTCCTTCATTTCCTACTTTCTTTCTTCCTATATCCTCCCATTTCCATTCTCCCTCCCTCTCACCCCTCTTCTTTCCTGCTTTACCTTCTTTCTCCAGTGACTCTTAAGAATTTACTTAAACTATTTGTATCTTAGTTTTACTTTTTTATTTCACAGTACTACCGGGATGCAAATGAAATACTTAGGAATATACTTAACGAAGGAGTTGGAAGATCACTACAAAGATAACTATGAAACACTAAGGAAAGAAATCACTGATGATACACACAAATAGAAAAATATGTCTTGTTC